ATCGAGTTGAAAAATTGAAAAACATAATTTATCTCATGATTTAGAGCCTTTTTAGAAGTTAGAGCATTATGAAAAGTGCTGTTTGTTCAGTACTGATAATCAGTCGCCTAGATAGCCAAAGTAAGTTCCAGATATTTACACTATTTTCCGGCCACCATATTTGTGTACCATGGATGTACATGCCAACATGGCGCTTTCATACTGGGCTCTGTAAATTTCTGCGAAACATTTTAACGAATATCTGAAGTTTGGAGAAATGCACAGGCCTACATGTACAAAAGTCAAAGAAGTGTCTTATTTTAGTTATCGTCTATAAGATCACAATTTCTTAGCGTTTTCCACTGGATGGTTTTCAATTTATTTTTTTATTGTGTGACAGTGAAAACGATCTATGGTTATGATAATCTATAATTTATTTATTGTTATAACGTACAGTCACTGTGTAAAAATCAATATGCCTACTTGTATTAATGTATTAAGCAAATTTTGCTGATAAGAAAAATAATTTCTTTTAATTTCTTTTCAGTTCATGATTTCATGATTCATGATTTTGTTTATGTAAACTAGGGGAGAATTTTTTCTCTGACGAATCCGAGAAGTTCTGGCTAAACATTGCTGGGGACTATGAGCGGAAGGTACGTAGTATACACATAATGTAGAAAAGAAACATTGAACATGTGTCCGTAAATTTTGATTAAGTGATTTGTTTGACTGCAACGCTCTACTGAAGGTGTTTTATTAAAGCGTCCTTCTGGGAGAATGAAAAAGTCATTTGGTGACAGATCCTTCAGTGTGGCTACGCCCACTCTGTGGAATGCTCTTCCTGTTAGCCTCCGCATGATCAAATGTATTTCCACTTTTAAGTCAAATCTTAAAACTTATCTTTTTAAATTAGCTTTTAATATTTCTTAAATATGTATATATAAATAAATGATGTAGTGTTTTTTTTTTATTATTATTTTTAAATTTTATTGTAGATTTTTAATACTTGTATAGTTTTAGGTTATTTATTGTTGTAATGCGCTTTTGATCACCTGGTATGTTAAAAAGCACGCTATAAATCAATGAATTATTATTATTACTATGCAGCTGTACTTGTCTTACTATGATTATCAGTTGCGTAAGGCAGGATGAAATCTTGGTGACCAGGTTTTAATGTGAGAAGTTGCATTGTTGTCACGGACAACTTTCTCTGTTTCCAGTGGACACTTGTCGGCCTTTGACGTCATTTGCAGCAAAGTGCACAAAATGTCAGGTGACGATATTGTTACCAATGGAAATGAGGAAAGTTGCCCGTGGCAACACCGTGATTTTATGTCCAAAACCTGGTCATCAAAGCTCTGCAGTGTCGTACTCAACTGATACTGTAGTATGACATGACACCCAGAGTCTTGGTTAAAATCAGTTCTCTGTATTGCACAATGATCATGCAACAAATTTACCATGTTCAAAAGAAAGCCAAAACTTCATTTCTTTTAAATTAGCAAGGGAAAAGAAGGTTTAAGTGGACAAAAAACTTGGCTTAAAATTCAATGCCCATCTGGTTGCAAATTGGCTTGAACTCCGACTTTACTGAACCATTACTAATATATTTTTTTTTACATTTTTAGAGCTGGAAAAATTTTGTACAAGCTGCCAAGGACTGTTGTCCAACGGAGATGCAACAGGGAAATGTGGAGAAGTTTCTCTGTAAAGTGTGCAATATTGATTATGGTAATAGTTTATTATGAATATATGAGTAATGGATGGCTTGACTAGGCATA